GCGTTAAATCCTCCAATCCCCAACCTTTCATCAGATATGTAATCTACTGTATTTTCGATCCGAGGTCTTCTGTGGAAGCATGTAGTGTTTTCTTTGTAGCCCGTCATAACAAGCTAAAATCGCAGTGAAGACCTCAAAAAAAACTTAGGGTATGAATATATACATTAGACGAAAGTGCTCCATAACTCAGCGGCTTTTAGAAATTAGGCTGACTCGTCATAAAGGAAGTGATTTGCAAGAATTTGTAACTTAAAACGGCAAAGGTAGATATTATTCGTGATTATACTAACTGAAAAAATCATCAATAGTAAGAGTCATCGGCTCAAATTAACATGAGGACATAAATTTTCTGCCTATGCTGGTTTTCTATCCCAGGCAGCATGCCAATCGAAATGCTTAAGTGATCAGAATATGGAAACACTAAACCAAGCTGAGCGAAAAAGGACTAACACTATTTTTAAAACACAAAGGATACTTCTGGTAAACAAAAACCCGAGTGGTAAATGTACACAAAAATATAAAACACCAGCTTACCAGGAGACACAGGCGAAACCCATGAAAAAGACCGGCCGAGCCCGCCTCCCGAGCCTGGCGTGCCTTCCGCGGAGCGTTGGTGATAGGAGCTGTACTGCAGCCAGGCAGTTCAAATCCCTCCTCTTCCACACGCGACTTGACGAATGAACAGGTCTCGATCCAGTCGAAAGCTAGTATCCAACAGCCCTAAAAGCAACATGGAACGGGTGGAGACCGCTTGAATAACTATAAACAAGTTATCACACTCAGGCACGTTAATACAGCAATTCAATGGCCGCAAACGATGACGTCTAGCTGGTGCGCCAGGGCGTGATGGGCGGTGACTTGCAGGAAGTAGCTGTTAATAAGGTAGACTTATACAATACTTACACCACACCCTCTCCCCTGGCAGCAGACGCCTCTCCGCCGCGTTCCCGCCCGCCCTCAGAGCGGCCAAGGTCTGCTAAACCAAACCTCCCTACGTTGGATCTACCTCTCACTCACCACCGTGGACCTTTGGCTCAAGCCGGCTGAGGTCGCGGCTTTTCTCCGTCTCCC